AATATTTTCACAAAACGATTTTTTTACAATTAAGCTAATCAATAACATATAGTGGAATTAAGTTGAAAATACACAACCTCCACCTCTGATGTTGGACTTTTGGACAACGGACTCATCATACATATCATGGCATACCATCTCTTATTGCCACTACATGCAAGGCATGCTTTATCATGCAAATTAAACTAAACAAAGAGAACAAGGAGAAACTGCATTTTTTTTTTAACAGCACAAGGAGAAACTGATTAACAGTGCATCTGAAATATTCATGGATGCCAAAGGCTAGCTTGATGATAATGGTCGAGTTCAACATGATCTGAAAATCTGAGGAGAAAGGCGAGGTGAGACAAGAACTTCAAGAGGGGTAGCTTCATATTTGTAATATAGCCCTATTAGGAAAATGGTGGGGGAGGATAGTCGTGGCAGATAAAGGGCTCTGGAAAAAGGTTATTGCGGAGAAGTATGGTCGGGTAGGGGAACCAAGCTTCAATTGGTTGAGGGAGAACATGAATTTCGGCTCATCTTGGTGGAGGGACTTAAGTAGATTGAATGATATTGACAAAGAGAAGGCTCATCTTGGTGGAGGGACTTAAGTAGATTGAATGATATTGACAAAGAGAAGAAAGGATGGTTAGTGGATGGGCTGGAATTAAAACTAGGGGAAGGGGTAGACATTAGTTTTTGGTGGGACAAGTGGAGTGGGGATGGGTGTTTAGCTAACAAATATCCTAGACTTTACTTGTTATCTGCAGGAAAGGACTATAAGATCTCACAAATGGGAGGTTGGCACAATGACACTTGGAAGTGGAGTCTACAATGGAGAAGGTCCCTATTTAGCTGGGAAGAACATCAGGAACTGGAGCTCCTAAAGGAGATTAACGAGATAACAATTGCAAGAGGGAGACCAGATCAAAGGATATGGATTCACAGTAAAGATGGTAGTTATACAACCAAATCATCATACTAGATACTTGCAGCAGAACACAGAAATAGCCTACTTACTAGTTGTACCATCTAAAAGTGCTGCAAGGAAAAAAGATTTTGGGGCTGTTTGGATATTACCGTTGATAATTAATAAATAATATTTAATAGTTAATAATTATTATTTATTACTTAAAATATTTAATTTTTTAATTAAAATTAATAATTAATAACTACTTGTAAAAGTTAAAACAAACATTTATGGATGTAATGCAATTATCAGATGGTTCGTTGAATTATCATGATAATAAATTAATTGTTTTTCATTTTCTCAAATTCTTTCGCACCTCTCTTAATATCAAAACTGGCTTCAATCAGAATTTTAACAAAGATGAACTTTTAACTAAAACCTTATAACTTTTTTTTTTTAACTGAAATAAGAAGGTAATCTAAAAAGTTACTATATTACGAGTAAAGAACAGTACGTAGAAGAAATGCTTTTAACTTTTACAGTCAATCATTCATTTTCTCAAGGTAAAATATTAAAATATATTTATTTTTT